TGAGTAAGTGTGTGAGTGAGTGAGTGAGTGAGTGAGTGACCGTGTGACTGAGCTACATTACGAGTGAGTAAGTGTGTGAGTGAGTGAGTGAGTGAGTGAGTGACCGTGTGACTGAGCTACATTACGAGTGAGTAAGTGTGTGAGTGAGTGAGTGAGTGAGTGAGTGACCGTGTGACTGAGCTACATTACGAGTGAGTAAGTGTGTGAGTGAGTGAGTGAGTGAGTGAGTGACCGTGTGACTGAGCTACATTACGAGTGAGTAAGTGTGTGAGTGAGTGAGTGAGTGAGTGAGTGAGTGACCGTGCGACTGAGCTACATTACGAGTGAGTAAGTGTGTGAGTGAGTGAGTGAGTGAGTGAGTGACCGTGTGACTGAGCTACATTACGAGTGAGTAAGTGTGTGAGTGAGTGAGTGAGTGAGTGAGTGACCGTGTGACTGAGCTACATTACGAGTGAGTAAGTGTGTGAGTGAGTGAGTGAGTGAGTGACCGTGTGACTGAGCTACATTACGAGTGAGTAAGTGTGTGAGTGAGTGAGTGAGTATGGTTTCACTCAGCGGCGGGGGACATCAGAAATGGGCTTCATGTCGGGAAACGAACCCGGGTCTTCGGCGTGACGAGCGAACGCTTTAAATATAACCACTTGGCTACCCGACCGCGCCTCCACATTACAAAGAGGAGACACTGGAAAAACATTCTGTAGGAGGTATAAACCATATTTTCATTAAACATGTCCTAATAACGTGGGACGGTTAACTCAAAACAGAAATGAAACACAGAAAGTTGTACTTCGTGTATCAAGACCAGTAACAAATGTAACAGATGTGGAGTGTCGGAGTGAGTGAGTGAGTGAGTATGGTTTTACGCCGCTTTTAGCAATATTCCAGCAATATCACGGCGGGGGGGACACCAGAAATGGGCTTCACACATTGTACCCATGTCGGGATGTGGAGTGTCGGAAACAATACAACATTATTTGTTTTACTGCCCAACTGTCCATCCATTTTGGGTCAGTTGGATTTTTTAAATGGATGAAAGTGAATAAAAATGATAGGATATATGAAAATTACAGAGATACGGTATTATTTGGCGTGACAAAGAGTGTGTCCACCGACGAAACGATACTCAATTATGTTCTACGTACGGCCAAATATTATGTGGATAAATGTAAAATTCTTGAAAAAAAATGTACATTTAATAACAATATTAAAGAGTTAGAGTTTCATGTATAAATTATTAGAAAAAAAAATCAGAAAATGGACCATGTAATGTTAGAGCGAATGTCAGAAGCTCTGCTCAAATAATGACTTCTAAGCCTGCACATACTACGATCCGTTAGACCAGCTACGTGGTCCTGTAGGGTCTATTGAAACATCGTGGCACCTAATGTGAAATATATTTTTACAAAAACAAAAAACATCGTGATGTTGAGACCATACAGAGGATCGGTCATAATAGTTGTGGACTGTGTGACCGGTGTCTATGCTACGCGTGTAGGAGGTGAAATGGGGTTTAACGTCGCGTCCAAGATTATTGCACTTGCATGTACGTGTGTGTGTTTGTGTGGCTGCTTGTACTAGTCCGGACTGATGCCGATTTATAGTGCTAGCTCACTGAGATACTATGCCACAGTTTAACATGCCACGCGTGTAACTGCGAAATCATTCCTAATGAATATAGAGTTCATTTATCCTTCATGATGCTTGTTTACTCTTTAAATTCAATTTATATTTGGTTAATGTAGAAACCACGTTTTACATAAAAATAATATTGTTGTTAATGGTAGAAATTTCACCCCAACAAACATAATGGCAATAACACTTATCAAAAGAAGTTAAAGAACATCTGATTCTTTCACACTGTGGACCCGTGAAGATCCGGGGTAGAATAGGTCTTCAGCAACCCACGCTTGCCGTAAGGCGGCTGTGCTTGTCGTAACAGGCGACTAAAGGGATCGGGTGGTCAGGCTCGCTGACTTGGTAGATGCATGTCATCGATCCCAATTGCGTTGATCGATGCTCATGATGTCAATCACTGGATTGTCTGGTCCAGACTCGATTATTTACAGACCGCCGTCATGTAGCTGGAATATTGCTGAGTGTGGCGTTAAACAACAAACAATCATATTACTGTAGATTCGGACGTCCTTTACTTCGTTTGGGTGGTATATATACTTGTACTCAAATGCAAATGAACGGTGATCATATTAATTTACTGATAACTGAAAGTAAATTATAACTTGAAATGAACTAACTCCGTTATAACGAACTCAAAGAGACCACTAATTTTAGTACGTTATAACAGTTGTTCGTTATAAGCATCTATTCATCATATACAGCAAATGACCGGTACAAAAAATAATTTATTATATCCGTCAGTTCTTTCTAAACGTGTTCGTTATAAACGTAGTTTACTTATATTGTTTAATGACATTGATAGGTTTACTACTGTGTACACAAGTAGCGCAATAAACCACCGCCGTCATATTTCTGGAATGTTGCTGAGTGCGGCGTTACACAGCAAACACAGTTAACCACTACAGACCCGACAGACAAGGGTACAAGTGCCGTTCAAATATGTACTGGCGTGAAAAATATGTTCACAAGTCAAATTGTATTTTGGGACTACATGACAATGCCATCAGTAAGGTTAGACAAACGCTTAGTCTCTGAAAATATGTAATTTTGATAGAAATAAAGAACTCCATTTATTTTTAAAAGGAGACCCAGTGAGGTGGAAGTTCTTGCTTGACAACGGTATAAGGATCTATACTGAAACGTCACCTTTACAGTAATTAAAGAAGTTGTCATCCATGAATTGTGTCTGCTTTGTCATCCGTCAACTTCTAAGTAATGTCTATCAAACAATTCGAGATGGGAGATCACGAACCTTAACCTGAGGAAAATCTAGACTTGCTTCGTTTAGGGCTTTGGCGTTTCAGAAATGGCTGGGCGGAAGGAAAAATATGGGATTGTGAGACCAACTACAACAAGATGTTTGGTTATTTATATTGTCATTGGGAAGATATCATGTAAAACTACAGGACAAAAGAAAGTTTACACCCCTGTTTGTTGGTGGTTACAAATGGAACCAACAAGAAATGGTTATTCGATGTATTTGAAACAGCATGGGAGGCTGAAGGCCAGTTCTACCCCGGGTCTTCACGGGTCAGTGAGTGAGTGAGTGAGTATGGTTTTACGCCGCTTAAAGCAATGTTTTACGTCGCTTTTAGCAATGTTTTACGTCGCTTTTAGCAATATTCCAGCAATATCAAGGCGGTGGACACCAGAAATGGGCTTCGCACATTGTACCCATGTCGGGAATCGAACCTAGGTCTTAGGCGTGACGAGCGAACGCTTTAACCACTAGACTACCCGACCACCCCTTCACGGGTCAGACCACAGAACTTTTGAGGAAGGTGTTAAGGGTATTGCCACGGCGGTGAGAGAATCTACATAAATAATACAGTATAGAAATAGGAAGTATGTCACAGTTATTCAGAGCTGCGGTTAGTGTGCTGTGTGTGGTTCTGGTGTCAACTTTATTTACACTTTTATATGAAGATAGAAATATATTTCACGGATATCTTGTACATTTCCATTAAGGAATCGAGTGAGTGTTGATTTACGCCGCACTCTTCGCAGTAATATTGCAGATATATCACGCCAGCATCTAAACGATCGAATCTTGACCAGACAAGCCATGATCACAAATCACTCTTACGGCAAGCCAACCTTTTTTATACAGGTTACTTCGTACAAATTCCACCATGGAGTGGGTGAGTGAGTGAGTATAGTTTGAGTGAGCCGCTTTTAGCAATATTCCAGCAATATTGAATCTTCCCGAGGCAGGGATGTAATCTGACTATAAAGGTCAGATTAAACCCTTGCCGAACTAGGCTGGAATTCCGGAGTAACATTTTGTCTGGACGCGTGGAGCAGTGTTTCAGTTTATCAGGCGACCCGTGAAGATCCGGGGTAGAATAGGTCTTCAGCAACCCATGCCTGCCGTAAAAGGCGATTAACGGGATCGACTGGTCAGGCTGACTTAGTTGATGCATGTCATCGTATCCCAATTACGTGGATCGATGCTAATGATGTCAATCACTGGATTGTCTGGTCCAGACTCGATTATTACAGACCACCGTCATATAGCTTAAATATTGCTGAGTGCGGCGTTAAGCAACAAACAGTTTATCAGGCGTGCCGGCTTGATGTGGGGGGTAGCATAGGTTGCTGGGGACCTATCGGCAATCCCTACCCGCTAGGGGTGGCAGTCGTTATTATCGGAGGTGGAAGGGGGTCTATGACAAGAAAAAAGTATACCTATCCCATGAACATGAACGTGGTACCCGCGTGACATTTTTTCTGAGTGATTACAATGTTATCCTATTCCCCATGACATTGAAACATGTGCACCTGTGTCGTGGAAATAAATACTGAAATGCATACCCTTCATCACCATTTTACACTCTCATTGTGACTGATCACGAATGTCTGATTGCTAATGAAAAATTACTTATCACCAAATATAAAGTCGGAGTCGAACACTATCACCCACCCCTGATACAGTAAACCCCGAAATTCCAATTAGATGTAGTTCGAAAACCCGTCTTCATCACAATTCATTAAAAGTTCAAAAATGTGAAATCTGACAATTCGCATTCTCTAATAAATAACCTATTTAACTGGGGGAGGTATACTGGTAACTAGGGTTACTCTGCTTAGAGTTTACTCTGATCCAGGGAGGACTGTAGAGCCCCCCTACCCCAACCCCCGACCCCCACCCCCTTTTTAAAAAAATTATGCTCACCATATTGACATATTCAAAACACATAACTAACTCATTTCGTGTAACTACTTTTTGATTCCCGAATTATATCCATTAATGTTTTGTTTTTTATGAGCAAAATCAGCACATCCCCACATATCCACCCCACCCCCACACATACCCTCCCCACCACACCCCTGTATAACCTATAGATCACTATAGATGAACTTACCTTATTGCCATACGCGCGTTATTTTCCTCCCCGGGAACACAAATCTAATCAGTCGGTATGGATGTAGTCTTCACTGACTCCAAGAGATCACGTTATCTTCACGTTGTCCATGCCGTGATTTACAACTGCACAATGTCCTCTGACCTGAACGGTATGTTTCCACAGTCAATGACAAGTCTCCCTTGCCTAACTCAGTCGCTCTGCAATACACACCTGTCAGTCAAACGAACAAGCACCTGTCAATCACGACCAAATCTCGAACGCTGTTGGTTCTTACTGCGCTGGTGTGGAGAGTTGCCTACCGCTGTCGGCGTATATGAAGCGTAACACACCTTGATCACTAATATCCCCTGATATCCCAGTGGTCAAGCCTGGTCATTTAACGTGGTTTGCAAAACAACAGCTAGAACGCGTGCGGAATTAATTCAGCGTGGGTTATACCACAGTTCAATATCTGTCAATGTGACTTTCATGACAAAGCTTTATTGTGTCAAGATCATGTAATCTGGGACATTTACACAGAATACCCCCAACGGAGTTTCAACCTTGAACCTGAATAAACAACGTTATTTAACAGGTTAATATATATGTATCAAAGGGAGATAACTGGTGTATGATATAACATATACCCGATCCTCTTTAATTTACTATTTCTGGTTGGTTATTGCAAAAAAGAAAAAAATAGAAAATCTAGATAAAAAAAAAAAAAGAAAAGAAAAGGGAAATCTAAGGGAGGTAACAATTGAGAGGATGAATGCCCATGTTCAGTATAGTATTGGTTTCAGATTACTGCTACATCTGACCAAAACTTTATTGGAACATACATGTTTAGGGCTGTAACTCTAAGCATATGTACTGACCCCCATAGCCCCTAATCGGTTTTACGTTTATGCTCATGGCTCAGGGTGAGGGTGTCTCTCGGTTAGTTTGAAGTCTGTCGTCATGACAACCAAACAACAAACAGTTGCACCTCTACTGTCAAAAATGTCGGATCACCGACTAGTGTTGGGCTTATATCAGTGAGACGTATGACGTGAGAGAAATGAAGCATGGCTACATACCACGTCCTATCATACTCTGTGCGCCACTGACGCAATTCCCCATACTTAATACTACTCTGCGTTACTCACACAAGTAAATCATACTTGACCTACTCCACGTAAATATATCGTGTATGTTTGACCTCTTTCAGCATTCGAACAATGATCTTAGTAAAGTGAGTGAGTGAGTATGGTTTTACGCCGCTTTAAGCAATGTTTTACGCCGCTTTTAGCAATATTCCAGCAATATGAAGGCGGGGGACACCAGAAATGGGCTTCACACATTGTACCCATGTCGGGAATCGAACCCGGGTCTTAGGCGTGACGAGCGAACGCTTTACCCACTAGGCTACCCGACCGCCCCGATGTTAGTAAAGGTGGCAGACTTGGGTGCACTTCAATAACGACAATAAAACGACACAGTGATGTGATTTCTTTCAAAAATATATAACTGTGAACAGTATCTTAACAACCAGAATATGTTTACTAGTTTCATATAATATGCCATGTCTAGGAAATAGTTGTAAAATCTGCATTTTTCCTACCATCATTATTTTATTGAGGAGGGCGGTCCTACATTTTGTTTGTTTGTTGTTTAACGCATCTCTCAGCTATACTCCAGCTACTTGGCGGCGGTCTGTAAATAATGGAGTCTGGACCAGACAATCCAGTGATTGATATCATGAGCATCGACCTACACAACTGAGATACAATGACATGCATCAACCAGTAGTAAGGATGGCGGTCCTAGAGTAGTAGTGGTTTTTTTCATATTGTTAATGTCATTATTATTATTGTTATTATTATTGTTGTTGTTGGTCGTTAATATAATCATTATTTAAATTGAATTATGGTGTTTTAATGTTACTATAACAAGTATTCATCTCAACTATTATTACCAGTATCAATATTATGATCATTGATATCTTTGTTTTAATATTTAATTACCATTGGTGTTAGTACTGTGTGAACCTATTCAGTATCAAAGCGGTGGGGTAGCCTAGTGGTTAGAGCGTTTGTTCGTCACCCCGAAATCCCGGGTTTGATTTGGCACACATGGGTACAATATGTGGTGACAATTTGTGGTGTGCCCAGCCGTGATATTGCTGGAATATTCTTAAAAGTGGCTTAAAACTGTCTAACGCCACACTCAACAATATTCCAGCAATATGACCGCACCAGTGCGTGTTTGTCTGTCTAACGCCACACTCAACAATATTCCAGCTATATGACGGCCTCAGTGCGTGTTTGTCTGTCTAACGCCACACTCAACAATATTCCAGCTATATGACGGCATAAGTGGGTGTTTGTCTGTATAAACCACACTCAACAATATTCCAGCTATATGACGGCATCAGTGGGTGTGTGTCTGTCTAACGCCACACTCAACAATATTCCAGCTACATGACGGCATCAGTGGGTGTTTGTCTGTTTAACGCCACACTCAACAATATTCCAGCTATATGACGGCATCAGTGGGTGTTTGTCTGTCTAACGCCACACTCAACAATATTCCAGCTATATGACGGCATCAGTGCGTGTTTGTCTGTCTAACGCCACACTCAACAATATTCCAGCTGTATGACGGCATCAGTGCGTGTTTGTCTGTCTAACGCCACACTCAACAATATTCCAGCTGTATGACGGCATCAGTGCGTGTTTGTCTGTCTAACGCCACACTCAACAATATTCCAGCAACATGACGGCATCAGTGCGTGTTTGTCTGTCTGACGCCACTCAACAATATTCCAGCTATATGACGGCATCAGTGCGTGTTTGTCTGTCTAACGCCACACTCAACAATATTCCAGCTATATGACGGCATCAGTGCGTGTTTGTCTGTCTAACGCCACACTCAACAATATTCCAGCTACATGACGGCATCAGTGCGTGTATAAGTACCGACTTATAATAGCAGCTACCGGCAGTATTTGATATGCGTAATAAACATATACTTGTTATGAATAACGATCTACATATGACTGGCGTGTTTAGCCTTCTCTTGAGTCCAAAGGAGTTGTTAACATGCTTGATATGCGTTGTATATTTCACAACACTAAGACTTTAACAATGTCCTTTCATAGTCATCAGTAGTGAAAATAGAATTCACTTCCTACAACTTATAAGTTAAAGGTTCCAACATGTGTCAAGTCAACACAACATAATCTCTTTGAAGAATTGTACTCGATCTTCTTAACGCTGTGTCAACAAGTATATTTACATCAACCAAGCTACCACTCCGTATTGACAGCAAACTAAATTGCGCTAGGAGCGGCAAGTGGGAATATAACGTCTTTATCTGGTGTTGTATATCCAACTATACACAGGACAATGGGCATGCATATGTTGTGCTTAACAACATAAACTGTAGCTAGTCTAACACACAGCTTACAAATATAAATACGTATAAGGCTAAATATAAAAAGGAACAATGGATCCCCCGAGTTTAAAGGAATGAGTGAGTAGAGTTTTACGCCGCTTCTGGCAATATTTCAGCTCTCACTGCGGTTGGACACCACAAATGGGCTTCGCATATTGAACCCACGTCGGAATCGAACCTGGGTCTTTGGCGTGACGAGCGAACGCTTCAACCACCCACCTACTAAACCGACCCCTCGGAGTATTAATGAAACCTCAAGTTGAGAATGAGAATGGGTTGCTGAGTTGAGAAGTAGTGAGAATGGATATAATATGGAATTATAAACTATGTTTGATATGTTTTATTGAAATATATGTATATGTGTGTCGCTGTAAGCTATGTTGGGTCGCCCTGGGCTACAATTCGACAGCACGCAAGTACTACAACCTCTGTCACCTCACACGTGCACGTGTCACTCACATGTAAAGTACATTCTGTTTAGTCAATACAATGAAGCATAGGATGGTGTATATGTATTCATCTGCAATGTCTACTCGGCAGAGCTCCAGATAAGCTGCGTATCTGCGTAAAATACGCATAAAAATGCAGAAATACGCAGTAAAATAAAATCCAAGCGTATCAAATACGCAACGAACATTACAGATTCGCTACAAAAATAAAACTTGTGCGTATCATCAAAATATTGTGAAGTAACCCTGCGTATTCGATTAGCAAATCAGCAACTTATTTTGAAATTATAAACGGACATTCCGTCAACCTTGCCAAACTCCATGATGACAGTTACATCATGATCATTTGCCATCACACTTTCTTGTGGAAGTATCGTGGTATTTTTGAGTCCCATAAAGCTCTCGAACCCACATGACAACAGTTTGCAGGGACTAGATGAAGTGTTTTTAAATATTTATCTTAAATACCCACATGTGTAAAAACTAGTGGGTAACAGAAATTTGAATACCCAGAAAGAATTACTGATACCTAATGATTTTAAAATGCATGGGTAAAATACCCACAACACCAAAAGCTTATCTGGAGCTCTGCTAATCGTGATAGCGTACTTCATTTCAGGTAAGCACGCGACTGTACACATTAGAATAACAGTATGTAGGTGATGGATGGATGCAGAATGAACGAACGAATGAATAATTATTATGTTAATTGTGTTATTCTAGAACGAATGCTTGGTTTATCCTAATTGTTCAACGAGGAATACAGCTAACGACAACAAAAGTCCCTTGTGTCTCGGTGATATTTGAAACTGATTGTCAAGGTGAACCAACAAATTGTTAACTTTACATAAAATTCAATACAATTAATAATAAATAAAATTACCTGAGCGTAACAAGGCGCTCTGACAGCATTGGTCCACTGCGCCCTGGTCGATAACGAAACTGATACCACAGACAGCACTGAACCGGAATGTCAGACACAAACGAAGTTACCGACTGAAGCGCTGCAATACTCTGTGCAGAGTTATTTCCCTTGGACGTGCAAGAAACCGAGATCGTGGTTCGAATACCAGATCTGCACTGGCAATATTTCTTTGTTTGTCAGGATCATGCAATATATGCATTTTCGAATATTAACGATAAACATGCATATGCAGAGCATCGGGGATAGAACAGAAACACGCAACCTGTACACAACCTATAGTCACATGATGAACTTGAATTGGACGAGACCCGTGAAGATCTGGGGTAGAATAGGACTCCAGCAACACTTGCTTGCCGTAAAATGCGACTATGCTTGTCGTAAGAGGCGACTAACGGGATCGGTTGGTCAGGCTCGCTGAGTTGGTGGATGCATGCCATCGTATCCCAATTGCGTGGATCGACGCTCATGATGTCAATCACTGGACTGTCTGGTCCAGACTCGATTATTTACAGACCGCCGTCATACAGCTGGAATATTGCTGTGTACGGCGTTAAACAACAAACAACAATAACAAATTGGACCAGGATCACAGCTGGCACCGAGGAGCCGTGGTTTACCATCTCCTCTTTCAGCTCTCCTCGGAGGAATGACGTCCATCTCCA